CACAGCCTCTTATAATTTTGTGGAACCAAGTTTGTTCTAAACTTTAAACCTTTACCCAAGTCACAAGATGTTCTTAGTGCTGCAAATGCTTAGGCTTTGGGTTCGCTGCCACAAGTTAAGTTTTGGGGCGGGCAAATAGAACACAGAAATGACTGAGGCAGGAGTTGTGTGAATGAAGATTTATTTATCTACAGGGTGGTTTTAAAGAGCAGATAAGAAGCACAGGTCTCCAGATGGTCAAACGAGAAACCTTGCTGATGCACATATGTTTAAGTTAGTTATGGCTTCAGGGTGTGGTTTGAATTCTCTTTACTGCTTACAGGTACAAACAGGCTTTCACTGAGTAGCCACTAGGTTGGATCCTTTTACACGCAGTATTCCACCCACATCTACCTGTCCTTTCCCTGGAGTCCAACTAAATGGCACAAGGTCTGGTCATTACCAGAGACAGACCCAACAATCAAGTACTCTATTCTTTCTCAGAGGTAGAGTTAAACCACTCTGCCTTACTACCAGGCAGAAATACCCTTCAAACTGTCTGCCCTTTTGCTGAGGCACACCCAAAAATGATCACTGACCTCTGAATGAGGCAAATGTGAACCCCACCTGCTGTGCTTCCCTCCAACATTCCATCCTCCCTCTGACAGATGACTGGATGCTAGAGCAACACTCCCGTAGGTTCAGCTGAGTGACTGTTTTTCTCCTCCAGGGCAGACAACTATTGTCACTATGTCATCCTTCCCATCCTTGCCCCCTGCCTCTCCTCTTGGTTGCCATCCAGTGTTGGCAACCCCTAAATGACTTGGAAGAAGCCAAAATACTGAGTAGAAAAGTCAAAGGAGATCAGTCTAGTCAATTAGTAGAGAAACTGCCGATCAGAAGCAAAAGCAAGGTACACTAAGATGAGCAAGATAAAAAGAGTAACCCTGGAATGGGGCATTCATGAGAAAGTAAATAGGAATGAGCAATTCTGTAGTAGGGCAAAAGTGAAGCACTATCATTATGAATGAGATGCCAGGCCAAGAGCCATATGGTATAAACAAATTAAAAGCAGGAGGGAAATGTAATAAGGAAGTCAACATTTTTTGATGATCAGAGATGTGCAGTGAAAATATTTCCAGTGCTTTATTTTTCCACTAAAAAAAATGAAATGCAACCCTGACCTGGATAGCCCAGGCAAGCCCGATCTTGTCAGATCTTGGAGGCTAAGCAAGGTCAACTGTGGTTAATACTTGGATGGGAGACTTCCTTGGAATACCAAGTCGGAAGGACACAGGCAGGCTTTATTCAGCCCCCAGTAGGGGTCAGTCACCAGAGGTCAATGTGACTTCCAGGTGCAGACATACACACACACACAAATACTAAAAAATACCAAAAAACACACAAAAAGAATGAAATGTCTAAAGATTCATTGCTTTATAACAATGAATGGTTGTCAACAACAGTGCCATATTAGGTGAACTAGGCAATTTCAACGGCATAATTAATTAGTTGGATCCAGACTAAATGTTTAAGTGGCAAAACTGAACTTTTCTGTCTCTCCCACCCCCATACACACTGCAGCCCACGGATCTCCACATAATACTGCTCCTGGGGGATGGGGACCCCAAGGAATGGCATGTAGGAGGGTCTCCGGTGGAAACAAGAAATTGCCAGTTTAGTCTGGATCAAACCCAAGGGTTATTTTATATTATTATTGCTAGGAATTGTGTGAGAGAGTACATGTGGGTCTTATTGATTTTGTTAACTGGCTGTGTTTCTGGATGATAAATACATACAATGACTCCCTTTTTAAAAAATTAAATAAAATCAAGTTATGAATTCACCAGATGAGATGTCCAGGTCACATCAAACCCAAAACTAAAATAAAATTATTTACCCTTCTCCTCTAACATGGTGTTATGAAACTAACAAGTAATGCAACAGAGTGCCAGTGAAACTAAGGTGCCCCAGTGATCTCCATGGAAGACTTAAATTCTGTTGCAATACATGAGCATATCATGCACTATTCTTTGGACATATTAAAATGAACACATCAGTAGTTTTTAGAGCTTTAAACATCATAAATGACGTGCATACTCTACTTTTCTACATTGTTATAAGTATTATTCCAATACCATAATATCTGCATACCATTTTGAATTTGATTGAACATTTAGACTACATTTAATTATTTTCCCCAGTAACATGTTTGAGTTCAGCTATAGGGCTGACAGACCCCTGGGCTGGCAGTGTTTACCCACTTTTTTTGGGGGGGGGGTTCAGCCCACCACCAAACATGGATGCCCACAACCACCCCTCTCCCTTCTCTCCTGAGAGAGGGGAGGGAGAGGGGTGGCTGCGGGCGGCATGCCAGGATTCCAAACAGCTTTGCCTCTTGGAGATCAGGTGCATGGAGCCCGTTGGCTGCGAACACTTAAAGGGATCCTTTAAAGTGCTCGCAGCTGGTGGGGCTCAGTCCCCGCACTCCCAATCTCCAAGCAGCAGTGTGCATGGCCCGCTGGCTGCGAGCACCTAAAGGGAGATCCCCCCACCAGGGAGAAGATCGGATCTGGCAACCATATTTAGCTACTGAGACATAAAATTAACATGGTGTACTTTTTGTTTAGTAAATACAAATCAACACAAACTCTGTTTTGGGAATTTGGAATTATTCTGGAAATTTTTCTTATTCAATTTTCTTATTGAAAATCTTCCCGGAAAAACCCATATCATCAAAATAATATTGTATGGCATTGTGTATAGAATAGCCAGGAGATCCTAAGTTTGTCTGGCATTCAGAAGCTCTAGCTCTTTTAGAAGGAGGAGGAGGAGATTGGATTTATACCCCGCCCTTCACTCGGAGTCTCAGAGCGGCTTATAGACTCCTTCCCCTTCCCCTCCCCCTCCCCACAACAGACACCCTGTGAGGTAGGTGGGGCTGAGAGAGCTCTTTCAAGAACTGCTCTTTCAAGGACAGCTCTTGTCAGAACTATGGCTTGCCCAAGGTCATCCAGCATCTGTGAGTGGAGGAGTGGGGAATCAAACCCGGTTCTCCCAAATTAGAGTCTGCACACTTAACCACTACACCAAACATAGCATTATGCACCACTTGGTGGCAAGCTAGACTTGTTTTTAAGGCAAGCAACATTTCAGAGGTGGTTTGCCATTGTCTGCCTCTGCGTCATAGCCCTGGTATTTCTTGGAGGTCACCCTTTCAGCCAAGACAGACCCTGCTTAAATTCCGAGATCTAACGGGATTGAGCCAGCCCATATAACTCGTTACGAATTCATAAAATTTACCTGAAATGGAACTAGATATAGGACTGAAGCAGAACTATGCCTGCAACCCAGGAGTAATATAATCAATGAATGGAACACCAAACAATCTCTCACTGAACCTGGGAAAAATTGTGACGGTTCATACAGCTTTCTCGATGCAGACTAAATCTCAAGTATTAGCTCCTACCTAGCCAAGAATAGTTAGAACATAACCAAGCTGAGGTCTAAGAACAATGGCCACCTTGATAACAAGATAATAACTCTCCAAAGTGTTAACTAGCTTATTTTAACAAATGTTTCCCATGTTTTAATTATATTACTTCTAGTCTGCCTTTGTCACTGAGACTCAAGGCAGATTATACAATGTAAATCAAAGCAATCAATAGAATGAGAAACCTAATAATGTGACAGGACCAGGGTCAAAGAAATCTGAAACAAAGCACAAATATTAAACATGATGTTAAACAATGCTGCAAATGGTATTACGTAAGAAGAAAACAATGTAGCAATAATAAGATAATACATACAGGAACACTCTATTTCAACCTTCTGCAAAACTAGAAAAACATAAGAAAACCTTGCAGCAATTTAAAAATATATACATGCTGTGAGAATAAACATGAGGTTCCCAATCATAATAAATGATCGCATGAGGTGTCAACTATCTTTACTGGAGACCAAAATATGAGGTTATAATTATATCTAGAGAGCTATAATTACTTACAAACAACTGGGCCTGGAGCACACTGCTAATTGGAGACAATAAACTAGATTTGCTAAACCAAAGCAGACTCAGAGAAATTATGCCTTAAAGGCACAGTAACACTATTTACAAAACTGCTTCCAACCTCTGCTCATCCCATGGTATTGTGTGAACCAGCACTTTTGGGATACTATAACAGAGCTATGTACAGAAGACAGCTACATGGAGAAAGCTGAAAACCAAAAGGTTAGACACAGCTGGAACTTTCACACTATCCTGCCCAGTTCCCCTCCTTACCACAATCTCTGGCACATGTGACTTTTGTCCCTTGATTGCCGTTGTAGTGTTTTTTGATGGCCTGAGGGGGACCCAACATTTAGCATTGTCATTCTCTAGGTGGAGCCTGGACTTCTCCCAGAATTACAGCTGATCTCTAAACGACAGAGATTGGCACTAGGGTTGACAGCCCCTAGGTGGGAATGAGGGATCCCCTGATTTTGCGAGCTCCTGCCCACTGCCGGCCAACTGGCCAGCCCAGGGAAGCCCCACCCCCAACTGTCATGACCTGGTGTGAAGTCCCCAGCATGATGGCGTCACACAAAAGTGACATGATAGTGCTGGGAGCGTCATGGGGTGACGCTCTCAAAATACCAGAGGGCTGCTACATGACATCCCTGATGTGATGACATCACTTCCGCACGGCATCATGACACCAGGAACGTCATACACAGTGCCATCACCATGCCCCCCCCACTCCTGGAAAGTTCCCTCCCACCCCCCACTGGTGAGAGCACAGGGCCTGGCAACCCTAATTAGCTCCCCTGGAGGAAATGGCAGCTTTGGAGAGTACACTGTATGGCATCACACCCATGCTGAGCTCCCTCCCCAGGCTCCAACCCCAAATCTCCAGGAATTTCACAAGCCAGAGTTTGCAATCCTACTCTCAATCCTTTCCAGCAGTTGAAAAGCTGGCTGGCTTTAAACCAATAGGAACACACTGTAGATCGGTTTATATATCGGTTGAATTAAATCTTACCATCACAAGTAGGAAGTGGGTGGCTCCACCAGTGGTTCTTTTCACAGAGCAGAGGCTCTTCATGGCTCAGTCTGTAACCTGGGTCACAACCAAATGATACTGTTGATCCAATGGAAAAGTCATGCCCATAACGACGGCCATGGACTGGTATGCCAGGATCCAAACAAGAGTAGGTGTTAACTGTTACACCTGAAGTGCAAGAAAGAAAGTTCCAAAGATTATATGAAGAATGGTATCCTTCAATCCAGGGGAGGGGGACCATTATAAATACTGAGTTTTACATTAATCTATATGCCACTATATTTTATTTTGGTAAGAAACAAGGGCATTGCAGGTTGGAAGGGTGTTTGCAGAAATGGTATGTGAATGGGGACATTGATGTGTATGTTATATTGAGTAATATGATCTGGGGTATAAATGTGTCTGTGTGTCTGTGTGTCTGTGTGTCTGCGTGTCTGTGTGTCTGTGTGTGTGTGTGTGTGTGTGTGTGTGTGTCTGTGTGTGTGTGTGTGTGTGTGTGTGTGTG